ATACAATATTTACAAGAAGGAAGAGGCAGGGTGTTTGGTTTCTTTGAGCAAATTAAGAGGATGACTCATTAGTCTGTCCCCCTCTCCCCAAACAGATCTTGTTTTTGGATTGTTGGTATGCCGTGCCTCCGTCTCCCTCCTCTTTCCTCCCAAACCCATCACTGTTCCCCACCCCGTCCCCCCAGTGCAGTGCTTTTAAGAAAAATCACTTTACTTTTGTATTAATTTTAATGTTGAACTCTAGAAGTTGACTATTTCCTTGAAATTTGGGAGAAAACCTCAGTAGATGCTATAGTACTGCTCTGTCCAATATAATGGCTACTAGCCACATGTGAGTATATAAATCTAATAAGGCAATTAAAATTAAATTTAGAAATCAGTTCCTCAGTTATACAAACTACATTACAAGTGCACTCCATAACTACAATGCACACATAGAATATCTCTCATCACAGAAAGTTCTATTGGATAGTATTATCATAACCTTTTAATCTGACCCTTTCATGCAACTTGAAGCCAGCATTGATGTAACTAATGCATACATATAAATTAGATCTTTTCTCATTAGATTCAAAATACATAAAAGAGACTGTCAGTAGCCTTGAAGCCCAACTTCCAAGCTTATCCAGTGTTTCTGTACAGAAACTCTAAGCATATCTTCTTGAATTCAAACCTAACTGGGACTGTCTTAAAATTTCATCATGAGATAAAAACAAAACCCAAAACAAATGTTATCTCAATACTTAACACTAAAGCTTCATCCCCTATAACTTGTACATTTAAAATTTAGTCATTTATTTTGATCTTTAAAGTTCTTGCTAGTTTTAGATTTAATTACCCCTACCCCCACCGGTGTGTTAACATCATCTTTCCTGTATTGCGAATAGCTAATGACCATTTTTCTCTGTTGCAGGTGAATGCACAATATTTGCAGCTGTTCGTGATTTAATGGCTAATCTTACACTGCCCCCTGGTGGGCGTCCATAGACACTATTGTTTTTAAACCAGGAAGGCTGACAAATGAGACAAAACAACAAAAAAAAAAAACTTGATTTCGGCTTTCGTTTTAAAAAGGAAAAAAAAAAAGGACTTTTTTGAGAGCTAAATATTCTAAACTGGCAAAATTTTTCAGGGTGCACTTCTTTCATCAAAAAGACCATCAATCTTTTGTATAGTGAACTTGTATAGTGTGTTTAAATGGGACACATTTCAAAGTAGGTAATACATCAGTGTCCGCTTGCCAGTAATAGATTTAATATTCTGTTTTATACTATAAAGTTATGGAAATGCCAAACTTGTTTATTTAATTGTTTTCTTATGTTTTTGGGTGTAATAGTCCTTTTTTGGTTTTTTGTTTTTTAAGGCAGGTCTGTCATTTTTGAATACTGTAAAACTGTGATAAACTTTATATTGAAGCTGTATTTTAATATGATCGCTTTGAAACCTTACATGAAAATGTTCTGGGAGTTGTTATAAACACATCCCAAAGAAGCAATATTTAATAAAACTAGGTTAAAAATAAACAAACAAACAGTGACACTCACTTGTGTGTATATCAGCTCTGTAGACTTCTCAGGGCCTCCTTTCATCTTTAACCTGGTGGGGCCAGTCATTAATTTCTAATGATAAGTGTCTGAAATTTGACCAGAACGTCTACTTTTTTGCTTCAAGCTTAAAATTCATTTTCTTCAAACATTCCTAACTTGACTGGTGATTAACATTTAGCGCCTCGGTTGTCTTTCAGTATAGGATTTGAGTAAACTAAAAGAATCCAGTCTTTGAGAAGAGACAGTAAGTAGCTCATGGATCAAGGATCCCAGATACTACAATCATCTCATCTATTGAAGATGTGGGAAGTTTTGTTAGGCAAATTTAGTTAAGTATGCTTATACATACAGCATTAATTAAGAAACAAGAATGTGAATACCTTCTACCCTTGTGTGAAATTTCTGTGATGTTTCTTGTCTTGCTTAACTTTCCCCCCTTACTTTCCCCACCAAAATTGGGGTTTTAAACAATCCCAGTTTAATTCATTGTCAGCAAAATGATAAAATGTTTTGTTTGCAAGAAGTCTGGTACAGTTCCTCACTTTGAAGAATCCAAGATCCAGGGCCTCTCCAGGGTCAAGTGGAATCTCTGATGCTGACACATTGCAGCAGGGGGTCTTTTTGGAGCACTGAGTGTCTCTCCTAGTCAGTCAAGGACTTTTTAAGCTTCAAAGAATATGATCTGAAGCAAAGGTCTTCTGATGACTTGATGTTATTTGGGAAAGTTTTTAAATGATAATACCATGCTTAGTATCTGGCCACGGTAATACAGGTTCTCCGTTAAATTTTAGATGCTTTGTCTAATTGCATTTTGAGGTGATATGAGCGTCTGTAACTGTCAACTACCAAATTCTAGTTTCAAGCATCTAGCTGCAGCTGTAGCATCTGTTCTGTGCTTTGCTTGATTCTCCGTATCTTTCTGGTCAGAGTTGAGGCCTTCTTTGCCCTTCTTCTGTGTCTTATTTCTGCCTTCATCTCCTGCTTCTCGCGCAGCTCTGCCACTACTCAGGAGCAGGCAGCTAAACCTTTATCATTCCCTTTACTTCCCTTTTGTCCTTCCAATGGTAATCATGTCATCTGGCAATCTAAGATGTCTTGTTCAAGGGCCAGCCCTTTTCTGTTTGAAACTGAGCCCTTTCTTCCATGTAGAAATCTACATGTCTGCACAAGAAATGTACTTTTTATCTGTAGGATTATGTCTCAACTTTATTGCTAGCATTAACATTTCAGCATTTTCCTTTTTAAGTGTGGTTTTTAAATGTGAGTTGCCTTTTTAAACATGATGCATTCAGTGGACATTTTTCCCCCTAATTATAACTTGTCTCTGAATACATTGTACAAATCAAAAGTAATATAGGATTCAATACACAGGATTTGCTTTTGATGCTCATTAAGAGTAAACCTGTGATTTTGAATTTTGATATCATGCTTGGTACTTGGAATTGGTATATACTTTATTAAAGCCTGAAAAAATTAGCATTTGAATCCTAGGTTTCATCACAAACCATGTCTTTTGCCTCTTTTGTTAACCTTTGTTACCAAGGTTCAGTCAAAGGGACTGGACCCCCATAGTGATTTTTCCTAATAGGTGGCTTGGGTCTTAAGGTGTTTTCAATGTGATTTTAGTAATTTCAGTAATAAAACTTATGCAAGTTTCAGAGAACTACCAACTCTCCAGTTAAATTTCATGAAGATGTTTCAGATAGTAAGTAGTCTGGTTTAGTATTCGTTTAATCTTGAAAAAAGAATTGGTCCTGATGTGCCACTTTTTTTTCCAGTTGCTGAAATGCTGTTTTAGAATGTATAGAAGTACTGGGGGAGGGGTTAAAAAAAAAAAAAAAGGAATGTGTAGAAGTACTTTAGAAAATTAGAGAGGAAGAAGCAAAAACTTCAACAGACCATGTCAAGCTTAATAACAGAGGCAGAACTTTACATATGAAAAATAACTGAGTGACTTGAGTGAAAGCATGAACTAAAATGTACATAACAGTGAATTTAAATTACCACTAAAAACTTACCTGTGATGCATTTATCACAGTAACCTGTTGGGCCATAGGATACTAATGAATGGACAGTAGTTAATTTGATAAGTTAAAGAAGTATAATCTTGCTACTTTAAATTTAGATCCCATTTCAGCATAAAAGTTGTTCATTTCTTTCATACTATCCCCCAAGAAATACCTATTACATTTTACTTTTTTATTGTCAGCTAAGTGTTCTAGATATAAAAAATCAGCATAAGAAATTTTTTAAAGAGAACTTTCAAGAGACTTAAGGCATAGAAAGGGGGAAAAAAATGGATAGCTCATTTGTTTCTTGAATTTTCATTTTCATTTGGCTTGATGGGAATGGTTTAACGGAATGATAGGAAATTTACTTAGCACAAATTTAGCATTGGGGTTATTAAGAGAAAGCAGAGGCCAGCCAACGTAGTACTGCCCAGCTCCAGGTGACCTTGATCTACTCCTAATTTTCTGTAAATTGCCTCTGCTTCCAAATAGCCACTGATTTGTTAAAATACCTTGCTGTATGACATGTTAATGAAAGGCACATTTAGGGCAATATAAAATAATAGCTAATATTTATGGAGAACTTACACTGCCAGGCTCTGTTAATAGCTATTTCCAAGTATATTTAATCCTCACAATAACCCAGTGGGTAAGTATTAATATCTTTATACTGATGGGTAAACTAAGGCCCGGAGAAATTAAGTAAATAACTTGCTGACACCAAATAAAGACTGCTTCAAATCAGACAGCTAAGAAGGGGTCATTTGAGTCTAGAAAGAGTGATTCTAAGCCTATGCCACTTTTCTGCAATTCACAGGACACAGCTTCAATGTTCAGTTGATCTCTCTATTACATAGCCAAGACTTATGAATAAACTTAAGCTAGATGTTTCAGGATCAGAATGAAACCCTTCTCTGGCTTAGTGCAGGCAATTTTTCAGCTTTGTGTCACCTTGGCACACAGCAGGTACATCATAGGCGCGCGGTACAGGCAATAATTGGTCACATTTCACAACCTGATTTACTGCATCCAGTCTGTGAACTTAGGACCCAGATAAGCTTCGAGAACTGTATGGCATAAGTAATTGAAGTGTGCACAGCACTTTTACAGCGATAATAATGTGAACCAAAAAAGCACGGACATGCAGTGGGAGCCTGGAGGGTGGAAGTGGAATTCAGTTTGAGGAAACTGGAGAGGGAGTGGTTTCAGGCAGAGGCGTTCTGGACTGATGAAAGTGCTTACGCGACGGCTGTCACGTAAGACTGGGGCGGGGCCGACGTGCCCCGGAAGTCAGAACGCCCCGCCCAGGGGGCCTGGGAACGCGCTGAGTTCTCGGCCGACCTCACTCTACGCTTTGGGGGCGGTCTCTGGGCGGGGCGCGCTGACGGCGGCGTCGCTGGGAACTCCCAGGCTTCCGCGCCTGCGCGCTGCCGTCCGCCCCGCCCTGCGGCCCGAGGCGCGAGCACGACATGGTGCTGTCTGAGCTGGCGGCGCGCCTTAACTGCGCGGAGTACAAGAACTGGGTGAAGGCGGGTCACTGCCTGCTGTTGCTGCGCGGCTGCCTGCAGGGCTTCATCGGCCGCGAGGTCCTCGCCTTCCACCAGAGCCTTCTCGCCGCTGTTCCGGGCCTGGGCACCCGTGCAGCCTGCTGCAGCCTCACGCGGTGCAGTCCGCGCCCCCGCCAGGTGAGCACCTGGGCGGGCGCTTTGACCACAGCCCTCCACCCCATACCTATGCCGGTCCTCATCTCCCAGCTCAGTGTCCCGTGCCCTCCCTTCTACGGGCCAATCGCAAATCCAGGGCGCCTCAGTCCCGGCAGTCCGCCCCTCCCTCCTGCCCCAGCACCTCCTCACCGCCGTCCCCTGTAGTTTCAGCCTCAGTGTCAGGTGTGTTCAGAGTGGAAACGGGAGATTTTGAAACATCACACCAACAGAAATGGAGACATTCATTGGGGAAACTGCCGGCCAGGCCGCTGGCCCGTGGACGCCTGGGAGGTGGCCAAGGTAAGCACCTAGAGACGGAAGGATGGGAGGACTCCACCAGGTAAGGGTGACCTGAAGCTTCTGGCTATGTGGAAGCCCAGGCCTCATAAACAGAGATTGGGGCTTTGATCCAGGGTCTAGTGTCTGGGGGGTTGAGGGCTGTCATATTGGAACCCAACCAGCTTAATGAAATAGAAGCTTTCTTCCACTTGTTTGTATCCTGAAAGCATCTGAGTTTGCTCCTGCTAGAAAAGATTTCAATTGGAGATGCTGGGACAAGATTTAGAGTGAGCATTGTAATCACAGGTGCAATGGGAGAAATAGGGAAGGCTTTTGTTTTGTGCTTAATTAATTATTGTTGAGTTAGTATTGGCTCATAGAATTAGGTTTCAAATGTGCAGCATTATAATTCTCCACCTGTATACATCATGCTCAGCACCCAAATCCCACTTTTCTATTAGTCACCATGTGCTTGACCCCCTTTGCCCTTTCACCCACCCAGGTAAGGTGTTTTTGAGGGTAGACTCCTTAGGTAACTCATGATTGTAGAGTGCCATGAAGATGCCACAATGGAGCTAAGGTGGAAAGTTAGAGCTAAGATAGAAAGGTCCTTAAGTACCCAGTTAAATAATAATATGTTGGGGAGGTATTAATGGAGTAGGTAGCCACATAGGAGATTGACTGTTTTCAGAACTTGGCAAGGTAACTTACTTGGTGGGCAGGTTGGGGAATTTTTTTTTTACTTTTTTATTTTTGCCAGAAGCCCTTAGGGCATGGAGAGCAGGGAGAGCTGCAGTCAGAGTGGCCTCCTGGTACACATTAACATTTGGAGTCAGTCTACATACTGGTTAGTAGCAGGTACAGACTTGGTGCTTGGGTGGCAACGCTCAGTCCTCGCTCAGCTGTTGTGTTGTGAGATTGGCCCAGCATCTGCCCCTAACTTCAAAGAGGAGGTTGGAATCGTGCAGCAGTCCCCAGACTTTTGGCTGTAATGGGCCAGTAAACCCACCACATTACACCCTCCTCCCCATTTTTACTATAGACAATGACAATAGAATTGCCAGTTTCTGTTTTTACCTAAAAGAGAAAGAAACTTAAACTCTTGCCTTTGCTGTGACTGCCCCTCCCCTGTGGTCTGTTACTGCTTTCTTCACCTCAGAATCCTCTGGGAGCCCAATGTCACCTGTTCATGCCACTTTTCCACTGCAGACCTTCTATTCTTGTTTTTACTCTCTCCAATACCACCCTCCTTTTTTCTCTTTTCTTTGAACTTGCCTTCTGCTCAGAAGACTCCCAAGGGCACAAACTGGTTTCACTTTCAGTTGATGGGGAGCCAAGGCCTTGTCTCAGCAGGATCCCGTTCCTGTTGCTGCCTTTCCCACCCAAGTTCCTGCTTCCATTCCTCTGCCTCATTTCCAGTGGCTAACTTTGCTCACATCTGGAGTTGATGGATACACCTCCCACGCCTCCCTTGCATGTCCCTTACATTGCATCCTCCTCTTTTTACCACACCTATCAACCTACCTCCATATGCATCATTGTCCCCTTTCTGCTGCAAAGAAGGAAAAGCCACATCTCCTTTAGCACCCTACCCCTTCACTTACATCTTTGACTGTATCCCTTCCCCAACCCAAAGACTTTGAGCCTCCAGTTAGCCACTCTGCTTCCCTCCCAGCTTATTCCCATCACCATACAAATATCTTGAATATGGCCTTGCTTTATTTAATTATCTAAAAAATATATTTAACATAATATTTGACAAAATATCTATATAAAATGAAACCATACATCCACAAAAAACCTGTGCAAGAATGAACACAACAACTCTATTCATGATAACTGGAAGGTGGAAATAACAGAAATGTCCATCAACTGGTGAATAGATAAAGAAAATATAGTCTATCCAGCAATGGACTATTATTTAGCTGTGAGAAGGAATGAAGTTCCCATGCATTGCTACAACATTGGATGAACCCTGAAAGCATGCTAAGTGAAAGAAGCCAGTAATAGGATTCCATCTCCATGACATGTCCAGAATAGGCAGATCTATGGAGACAGAAAGTATGTTAGTGGTCGCCTAGGCCTTTGCTTGCCAGTGCTTAGAGCATTTCTATTTGGGGTGATGAAAGTGTTCAATCAGCTGTGGTGATAATTGCATAACTCTGAATATACAAAAATCACTGAAATGCACACTTAATTTGCTATTAAGGTATAACTGACACAGTATTTTAGTTTCATGCATGAGTATCGTGATTCCCTATTTGCATATATCGTGAGATGACCACCACCACAGCAGTCAATCTAGTTAATACCTGTCACCATACATAATTAACAAGACATTTCCTTGTGATGGGAACTTAAGATCTACTCTCCTAGCAACTATCAAATGTACGACATGGTGTTATTAACTCTATCACATGCTGATATCCTTATATGGCATGTGAATTATACCTCAGTCAAGCTATCTAAAAAGCTTTTGAACAACTACGTGGACAGTAAAATTAAAAATAAAAAAGAAATCCTTGCCTTGAGTGTGCCTTTCAGCTCACTACCCATTTCTCTGTTACCTATACGCTTACTCAGTAACACTTCTCACAGGTTTTATGCCTGTTCTCTTTCTCTCAGCTCCTACAGACTCTTCGCTCCACTCCACTCCACGCTGGCCTTTGCCCCTGCCACTCCACTGCCTCTGTTGTCGGGGGCCCCTGTGACTTTCCTTCCTCGCCTTTCTCACCGCCCTGATGTTCACTACTGCTGGCACTCTTCTTGATGCTCTGAGGCACCATTCTCTTCTGGGTCTCCTGTCTCCCTGGCCCTGCCTCCTCAGCCTCCTCCTGAGTTGAGAGTCTTTGGCCTTCCTCAGGCCTTTTTTGTCTCTCTCTTCTCTGGTAATATTGCCTTGGACAGTGGAGGCAAATATTCAATGCTACCTTTACACCTGCCCAAAAGTTCCCCTTGCCTGGCCTATATCCAGCTTCTACCTCTTCTTGCATGTTGACATCTCAAGAAGGGCTCATCATACCTGCTTACTGGTGGTGTGGCACCACCAGCTACCTACAGTCATTCTCGTTGCCCTCTTCCTCCTTTCTTGATTTGTACCTGCGAGATATTTTTGGAGTGTATGTTCTCTGCATCTCCAGTCTCAGCTCTCACTCTCTTCTGCTTGGCCTCCACCTGGCCACCTTGTGGCTCTGCTCACCTCTGGTCACTTTTCCACACAGCAGGAAGTGTGGTCTTCAGATGGGAGTTGCATCGCTGTCTTCCCTAGCCTTAAACAATGGATGGCTTCCTGATGCTCTCAGAACAAACTCCAAACTCTTTTCCACCGCCACTGAGTCCTAGCACAATCTGGCCTCCGTTTATGCTCCAACCTCATCTTCTGTTACTCAATGAAGACACAGTCGAGGATAGTGAGAGGCAGTCACATGATATGCCAGACAATTTTTGCAAGGCTGCTGTCAGTGACAAAAAGGCAGCAAAGCCTCCCTGTCAGCTTCTGGTTCTGAAAGAAGGCAATAATTACTAGAATAAAATTTTAACATGAAAGAGACAGGTTTCTGTTGGTGAGAAAATGCCAGACAGGACATGCCTTATACTGGAAAAGAATAATTATGCCTAGCTTTGAGACAGCTGAGACCCCCTCTGACTGAATTTTCCCTGAGCAACAGCTGAGGTAAGCAGTTTATTTTCTTCTATTTCATTATATTAGTTTGCCCATGCTACATCAGTTAGCTTCTTTGTTAACGTGTGTAGTATCCATAATAGATTTATTTCAGAGCATCGGCATGTCAATGGCTGTTAAGAGAAAGAAAGACAGTGGCAGTACTGGCTACCATATCTTTTGATAGGGGACATTCCATGCATACAAAATCCTTCACTGTATGAGGCTCAGGTATGATTCTGCTCCATCAAGAGTATAACCCTGACTCTCCTTGGGGGTAGGAACTTACCACAAGTACTTTTAGGAATACCATTCCAAGCAGCACTGTGTGTGTGTGTGGGGGGGGGGTGGTGGTAGTTGCTTACTGAAATGTGTTTGTTTTCAAGGGAACTGGCCTCCTTATTTAGAGTAAAGTAAATGTTCATATGTCATCTTTTCTATTCCCTTGGCAGGAATGTACTCCTGAGCTTCTTAACTTAGGAAAGTTGTTGCTTGCAGATGTAAATGTGGAAATATTTCAGAAAATAGGCCCAAACCTTGCTTTAACATCATTATGGGGCCCATGCCATAAAAATCCCATAAAAAGCAAGATCAGGCTGAAACAGGCCCTCCTGGTCTACCTACTATCTTGAGCTCTAGTATGCCATCTGTAACTCTTTTGTAGGGCCTACTCAACTTGCAGATCAAATAATTGCCAACTTTTGTGGCCTGTTTGTTAGCATGCACCCACCATCATGCAACTGTTTCACCTGCATTAATTCATTCAGTTCTTAACAACCTTTGAGGTAGATGAGGACAGTTATCTTCAGTTTACTGATGAAGCATGTAAGGAGAAATTACTTACCGGGGCCACACAGTTGGCAAGCACAGAGCCAGGATTTGAACTGAATTCTGTTGCACTCCAAAGCCCAGACTCTTAACTTTATATTATTACACTGAGCTGTCCCAAAGCATTTATAGTGTCCACTTTAGAGTAGTTTCAAATCTTTAACAACTCAGCCACTGAAACGTCAGTGCTCTCCATCCATGCTTCCTGCTTGTATGCCATTCAGAGAGCACAAAACCAGTTATGTCGAGCACACACATGTTTCTGGTAGCAGAGGGACACATAGTTACAGCCTTTCATTACTGCCCTTGGTGGAGACTTTGCTGACACACTGTTTTCCCGGCTTATGAGGCTCTAGTCACTTGAAACCTCAGTAAGAATTTCAGTCTTCACCTGGGAAGTGGACAGTAACACTTGCCCTGCCAGTCTCGAAGGGGACTCAGGTGCCCCCATGCCTCCCTTACTCCAGGCCTTCATGCCCCGAGGACAGGCAGACAAAGCAGGACCCGAGGAGTGTGATGCAGTTGCTCTTTTAAATCTCATCAACTCCTGTGACCACTTCAAGATTGACCGGAAGAAAGTCACAGAGGTAAGAGCTGTCAGATCTGCAACCAGAGCATGAGAGTTGGGAGGGAACTATGAAGACCAGAAAGAATAATGTGCAGAGCAAACTGGCCTTGAAAATTGGCATCATGATCTCACACGGCCCTTCTGTGATGGCCAACGGCCTCCAGGTGAATGTGGTCAGCAGACTGCCCCTTCAGTTCTCAATAGTCAAAGTTTCTCAACAACAATGCTAATGTGCTATTGGCTGATAAATAGATGAACCTTAGATTTCTCCTCCCTGTTCCACCATAAACAGAAGCGAAGCGATTTTCCATATTAAAAAAAGAAAAAGAAAACTTGCAGTGCAAGCCATCATTCTGTTCTTTGTATGCCAGCATTGAATGTGGCCTTTCTATTGATAAATTTCATTGGCTAAACAGTTGCAAGACTAAATTATATACAATGGAAGAAAACATAAACACTAATGGATAAACAATGTCAAATTTCCTCTAGATTTAGACTTGCTGTTTCACCAGAGAACAGCTCTGGCACATTTATTACTTAAAAGGTCACTGAAAAGAATGTATAGCATTTCAGTATTTAGAGGGAAAATGCATGTATATTTTGCTAGCATGCCTGCAGCAGGAAAAACCGAGATTCCTTTATGACATCGCAGACAACTCTCAGCACAAAGTTGACCCCTGTGGTATCTTTTTTTTTTTTATATATCATTTTGTATTTTATTTTATTCTTCTGTGGTATCTTTTAATGTGCTGTGAAGTACATAGTAATATCTGGTCCCACAGCGCCCTCTGTCTTAAAATGTGGGCAAAACTTGATCTTTTTTCTATCATGATTTCTGCATCAAAAAAACTCTGTTGGCCCAGTTTTCTGAAGCTCCAAAACTATCTGAAGGGTTTTTGCTTTGCCTGCTTCAGCCTTTGGGTCTATCTAGAGCCAGTGGCCAATGCTCTTGCTCTGGCAAGTGGTTTTAAGGGGGTTGGGGAGGGGGTGGGAGGCGGTAAGAGAGATCCAGCCACAAGCTGTCCAGGGTGAGCGATAGTTGCAGGCTTGTTTGTGTTTCTTATCCCAATTAATTTATTTTTCAAGTGACAAGGGTTGAATATCCCCTGGAGCCTTGATGCCACCTAGGGGCTACATTTTTGGATTTCGTAGTTAGTAAAGCCTTTGTGTAATTTTTCTCTGGAATTACAAACTCTGTTTACTCCATTGTTTCTGAAGGCTTTGATTTTGTTTCTTGTCTTTCTGTAGGTGATTAAGTGTCGGAATGAGATCATGCACTCTTCAGATATGAAAATCTCTTCAGTCTGGCTTCGAGATTTTCAGGTGAAGATCCAGAATTTTCTGAATGAATTCAAGAATATCCCAGAGATTGTGGCAGTATACTCCAGAATAGAGCAGGTAAAAGCCATACTTAACAGTCCTGGTATGAGGCACAAAGGGGCGCAGCTCTCCTGCCTGCCTGTGTGTAATGAAGCTGGCGCCTCTCTTTTTCTTTCTCCTTTTCTCCTTTTCTCTCTCCTTTTAAAATGTAAAATGTTTAAAAAAAAAAAAAAAGAAAGACTAGGGGAATAAAACAACCACCACAGCTTCTCATTTAGAATTTGAGGTTTATAAGGTTTAAACAAAATTTTAGAATGTAAGAAGAGGGGAAAGGTTGATACGAAATATGGAATTGTGCTGGTCAGAGGGGCTTTTCTGTGGCCGGAATATGCTATGAAAATAGAGGCAGCTAATGATGTTTGGTTATGTTCTTTGAATAATCCATATCTTTTCCATCCAGTCAGCTCTTATCTGTTCCATTACCTAACAGCTGTTGACATCTGACTGGGCTGTCCACATCCCTGAGGAAGATCAGCTAGATGGATGTGAATGTGACACAGGGGCTTACCTGAGTGAGAGCCAAGTAAATGAAATAGAAATGGAATTACTAAAGGAAAAACTTCAAGAGCTCTATCTTCAAGCAAAAGAGCAAGAGGTGTTGCCTGAAGAGGTAAAAAAAAAAAGAAGTACTACATCCTCTGTGGCAGAAAACAAAGCAAGGAAGCGGTAGGGAGGAAGAGCAGCTCATTTTAACATATTCCAGTGATGTTTCTGATGTATAAGTCCAGCTGTTTCCAGAAATGGATATTCTTTTGGCACAGATTACTATTACCCTTAAAGAAATCTTTTCAGTTAACCAGCACAACCTGGAACAACATGGTAAGGGCCACCAGAGTCCTGCGCCAGAAGCTGGGGAGTCCCAGCTGGTCGAGGGCAGGTTGCAGAAAAGGTTTTGCTGGAAGTTGTTATTTTTCTGGGACTAACAGACTGAAGCAAAGGTTTGGCACGTTGGCGAGGGGAAAGGGGTGTTCTTGACAAGGAGTAACACTTGGGAAGGCAGGAAAGAATGGTGGGCTGGACAGTGACAAGGTAAGCCTCAACTGGAAGGGAGGTCAGGTAGATGAAGGCGTATTTTGAAAGGTTTTCTCTGCTGCACCAAGAGATTTGGACCACATTTCAAAAAGCAGCCCGGAGCCAAAGAATGATTTAAGCAAGAAAAAATGATGTGATCAGATAGAGCTTTCATAAAGTTAACTCTTAGTTGAACGTTGGACACTAGTTTGGAGACTCTTAGAGCGGTGTGAAGGTGAAAAGAACTAGAGGTACGGAGACGGATTCTGGAGACATTACTTGTGTAAAAATGATGGTTAAATTACTTGAAGCATGACGTGCGGCTGGAAGGAAGGGAATTAAAAGGATCGACAAGGTTTCTAGCTTAGGAGACTTTAGACGAATGTGCTCAATTTCTAATAAGGGAGTAGAGAAGAAGGGTTCCTTTTTGTTACATGCAAGGCATAAAACAAACTAACAGCAGAACAGTTGTATTCTAATAAGGTTCTGAAACATTCGGGCATTTGCTAGATTAGAAGTTTCCATCAACAGGAGATCTTGGAATTGCTTTATCTCTCCATTTCACCTTGCACAAAACCCAGTAGTTTTACTGGTTACCTCATTAAACAGAGAGAAAATGTATTCCTTTCATTAAGCCGGCCTCCTTATGGTCTGTGTGCCTATATCAACTGTTCTCACTTTGCCTCAGATGCTTTATTCAGCTTAGTGATCTCCTTTGGCACAGGGACTGGGTCCCACTGGTCTGGGGTGTACTGACCCTGGCACACAACACAGATACTTAAAATTGATGAATAAGAAGGTTAAGTCTTTGTGTTCTAAGGGCATGTGTGTTACCTTGCTTTATTTTAAAACGCCATTAGAGCCATCCCTGGCTTTCTGCCTATTGCTTCTTTTAGAAGCAGAGTAGACGAGAAGACACAGGGATCAGACTACTGCGCCCAAGTCAACACTAGTTCTCTCTCCTCTCTTGGGGGAGTTGCAGTTCTTTTTCTGTTTGTGTAACAGAGAACAGAACACATCAGTAACAATAAGCTTCAGCCAGGGAGCTATGGAAATCGTGAGCTGGAAGGTGACCTAGCCATTTCCCCACTTTACATGCAAAGCAGTGCCCCAGGGAGCAGGCACTGCCAGGCACAAGGCCGCACAACTGGGGGTGAAGGCAGACCTGGAGGTCTCCCCGCTTCTGATCCTGTGCCTTCTCCCACCCCAGGCTGCAGATCCTGTGTCACTGAGGAACTAGAGATATAAATTTCTATCCCTCATTATCTCTGCTTTATAGAGAAGAAATTGGGGTTAATTGGCTTATTCTCTAAGTCCCAAAATCTCCAGATAAAGTTGATAAATGCTCACTTTTCATGCTTGCTATTTAGTAGACCGTGGCATTTCTCTTGATATTTCAGTTGATCAAAAATGGGAGTTGGGGTTGATTGGTGTGTTATCTCTAACAAGTTGAAAACTGGCTTTCCATGATGCGTGGAACTGGACTTCTGAAAATTCAGTACCATATATGGTTGTCCATGTTCTTTAGGGTTAGTCTCCAGGATCAGAGGCTAAACCAAATTTTAGTCAATGGAAAATGCCTTCACCTTTAAAATACACCATTACATCTGTTACTTTTAAGAAGGAAAAAAAAAAAAAGCTGCCAATTTCCCAAAGGACACTATCAGTGGTAAGATAACATTCTCATTTAAGATGTTAAAAAATGAAAAAATATGCATCTAGGAATCAAGGAATACAGTGATTATATCACAACCACAGGGACCTTTTCTGTGAGTGTTTAACAAGCCTTATTTCTGGTGTTCATTAAAATAGTAGGGAGAGCAATAGAAAGCCAAATTGGGAAAAAATGGTTAATGGTGGTAATTTAGTGTGATGGTTCCCGCAGATGGATCGCCCAGCTTGAGAGTGCCAAGGAGCACATGTGTAGCAGGAGCTTAACATCTCTCTTCTGCTCTGGTTGCTTGACAAGCCTTAGTGACATATAACATTAGAAAGAGAGGCTTTCATTAAAATACCTTGTGCCTGTATCACTGCTCATAAAATGCAGAGCCAAACGGGAGTGGTGGCTGCTCAGGCCCTTGGCACGTGTGAGGAATGTTTCTGCCAGGGGCCCATCTGCTGCAGAACTCAGCTGCCACCCAAGTGTCCTCAAGGTGCTGGACCTCAGTCCTCTGTTAGGGTCTAGGAGTTAAAATCCAACTAAGGGACCGTGAGCATAGCAACTGGCTGAAATACATATAAAGTACATGCATGGTCTTTAAAATCATTACAGGTTTCTTAAACCATGGTGAGGGACCCCCCTTCATGGAGATCCATGGGGAAGCTCCAGCGAAGGGTACAGACAAAATACACTCCAGGCAGTGAGGGAAAGAATTGAACATGACACTTCGTTATATTCCGGAAATATTTACTGAGAGTGAGCAGTTATTGCTTGCCAGGCACAGTTCCAGAAGTTTGGTATGTGTCAGTGAACAGAAGGAAAGATCCCTGCAGGGGAGACAGACAGCTAACATAATAGGTAAATGATGGGGTGTATCAGAAGGAGCCGTAGTATTGAGCAGAGTACGGGGATCAGCAGGACAGAGTGGCACGGGTGTTGGCGGCAGTAGCGCGGCCTTAGTCGGAAGGTGGTTCCGCATGTCCGCGAAGGCCTCGAGGCAGGGGTTAGCCGTGTGCTCTGTGGAACAGGAACATTCAGAGAGGACTCAACAAGCCGAGCTGCACACCTGGCGTCGGGTGAGGGAATGAAGGCTGGGTGAGTGTAGGAGTGTAGTGAAAGCAGAGGAAGCAAGGCCCTAGCGTCCCCGTCCCCCCCCCCCCCCCCCGTTTGAAGGTCCTGCCCGAGAGCCAGCCCGCCAGTTTTTCCCTCCCTTGCAGCCCTGGCAGCTGCGGTCCCACATCTGGCGGTCTCATTTGCTTCTGCCACAACCACCCACGTACCCACTAAGATTACAGCCTGTACCTGCTGCATCAGCAGCAGCGATGTGCCCCGTCTCGTTTGAGAGCCACCACTGTGCTGGGGGAGGCGCTCCAACACTTCTCTGACTTTCGTCACGTGGACTTAGCTTAGTTCGCGGTCCGCCGTTAAAAAGTTCCCCCACCCAAAACTACGGTAAAGTGTTCATCTTTGTACTAAGCAGAGAGATGAGCGAGGGTCTCTGGGATAAGCCCACGTGAAAAGATTCCCATGGTACTACCTGAGAGCACTTCTTTTAATTTAAGCATCAGGAAATACATTAATGGTGGGGGTTTAAGTCGCTATAGATGGCAGTTCTGACGAAATCTATTAATTAAGACTACATTCTACTTTTAAAAAAGTCTCTGCAGATAGCCTTGTCACTTAGGACAGATGATACATGGACCAGATTAGCTGCAGCAGCATTATTCATCTTTTCAGAGGTTTGAAATAGTATGTTAAAATATGAAACATCCACAATGAAATGTTATTTAGCCATTAATAAAATAATAATCTTCACCATCACTCTTTCTGACCGGATGTAGAAAAGGCCTGCTGAAGAGCAGTGTCTGCTGCTGCCATTTCTTTTTAAAAAGTGTTCGTGGCCCTCCCTGGTGATACAGTGGGTTAAAGCGCAGCTCTATGAACCTAGCCGCAGCCACTGCAGCTGGAGTTCGATACCCGCCCCAGAGGTGACCCACATGGCGCAGCAGACCTCTCCTGTCCTGCCTGCTGCTCCCCTCAGCAGTGTACTTCGTCA